TGGAAAATAATGTGTTTTTTGAACCTTAAACCGCATAAACACATTTCATTACACCAAATACACAAAATAATGTTCTTTTTAGCAACATCATATGACCCCTTTAAAAAAGTCTTTATTGTCAGTTTTGATCAACTTCATGCATCCTTGCTGAATAAAAAAGAATAAATCTTTAAAAAATCTAAATCTTACCGATCTTACTGAATAGTGAATGTCATATATGAGAATTGTTTAAAAGAGTAGCTCACCCAAAACTTCAATTTTTGGCTTCATTTACTCAAAACTGCAATTTTTGGCTTCATTTACTCCATAATTTTAATTTTCTCCCCCCAAAAAGAGACAGTTTGAACTTCTATGCACTTTTTCATTATATTTCAATGAACAGCCTTCAGGCTTCAAAAAGGAGCAGAAAGCGTCATAAAATTGGTGCTTATGACTGCATTAAACTCCAAACTTAATATTAGAATCTTGACATCTGTCCTATACTTATTGGTCATGAAATAAATAGTGATCACCGACTTGTGAATGGATCAGTATTTGGTTGGATCTTTTTTTTTTTTTTAATGAATCAGTTATTCTGGTTTTGTCAAGTCAAGTCACCTTTATTTATATAGTGCTTTTTATAATACAGATTGTGTCAAAGCAGCTTTACATTATTAAACAGGAAAATAGTGTGTCGATAATGCAAGAGGACAATAGTAAACGCTCAAGTAAACGCTTTCAGTTAAAGTCAGTTCATCATTGATTCAGTGATGTCATTGTCCAGCTCAGTTCAGTTCAAATAATATAGTTTACAATATTGGAACGAATGATTAATTCACAATTACACTGATCTGGTTCTTGAGATAAACTCTGGTTTTGTCAAGTCAAGTCACCTTTATTTATATAGTGCTTTTTATAATACAGATTGTGTCAAAGCAGCTTTACATTATTAAACAGGAAAATAGTGTGTCGATAATGCAAGAGGACAATAGTAAACGCTCAAGTAAACGCTTTCAGTTAAAGTCAGTTCATCATTGATTCAGTGATGTCATTGTCCAGCTCAGTTCAGTTCAAATAATATAGTTTACAATATTGGAACGAATGATTAATTCACAATTACACTGATCTGGTTCTTGAGATAAACTCACTGACTCCTGTCACATTGGTTTACAGCTCACTTGTGGGGAATATAATCAGTATATAGCATGTGAATTTTGGTTCGTAGCTCTGACAGAGCTATTGTATGGCTTTAGAAGACATAAAATGTAGTGAACGAGTCATATGGACAAAATTTATGATACTTTTATGGTGTTTTTGTGTCATTTTTCCTCTAAGGTATTGGACTTGTTTAGTATAAGTAAATGCTATTTCTACATGCTGTATTTTTTCTGCAGCCATCCCACATTCTTCAGCATTTACAAAAAAAAATGTTTTTTGCCAGAGGCTAGAACTGCGGCAAACCTCACTGTAGTCTTTATGTGTTCCTACTTGTATTTGCTGAAGAGGAAGCATGAACGTGGGGAGTTAAGCTGTCCTTTTGTGACATGGCAGAGAAAGTGCAAGTCAGACTAATCCACGCTGTTGAACCCGGGTGATGCTGACCAGCCGGGGTGAATGAGGAGGGACTTGTTCTGTCAAAGCAGGTGCATCTTGAGCACTGAGGCATAAATTTCTTTTGACAACGGGTATCCTAGTGGGTATCAACACAGGCATATCCTGCATAACCTCTCCACCAGGACTGTCAGCACTAATGATAACTGGGGAGGTATGCAGTTTAATTCAATTCAATTTAAGTTTATTTGTATAGCCTAGCGCTTTTCGTGATGCAAATCGTTGCAAAACAGCTTTACAGAAAATTAAAGTTTCTACATTATATTTAGTAATAGCTTATCAGTGGTGACTATCTCAAATTGATGTCCATATGGCAGAAATGTACGATAAAAATCAAGCAGTTAGTTAATGTCATGTAATCAAACAGACGGTGAACACTATTAACACAGTAATGATTATATGTTGCAATTAAACGTATAGCAAAAGAAAACAGCACGTAGAGAGACATTGGCTCCATTGAGACTTGTGATTTGTGCTTAGGCTGAGCTTGAGGAAAGTAACCCTATACTGTAGCACGGATGAGGTTTTGTTTAAATTGCAAAAATGACCGTTTTGGAAGCATCAGTAATTCAAGGAAAATGTGGATGTTGTGGTTATATAATGGTCAACTGGTTTTCTATACATGCATATTTATATACACTTCTGTTCAAAAGTAAGTTTGACATTAGTAAGATTTTTAAATACTTTTATTCAGCAAAGGTGCATTCAGTTGATCAAAAGTAAGCATAGTGGCTTTGATTCAGTGTTGTTCTTTTGAATTTTCCACTCATCAAAGAATCCAGAAATAAAATGTACAGTTTCCAGAAAAATATTTAGCAGCACAACTGTTTTAACATTGATAATGAGAAAAGTTTCTTGAGCACCAAATCAGCATATTAGAATGATTTCTGAAGGATCATGTGACATTGAAGACTGGAGTAATAACTGCTAAAAATTCAGCTTTGCCATCACAGGAATAAATTACATTTTAAAGGGGTCATATGATGCGATCTCAATTTTTCCTTTCTCTTTGGAGTGTTACAAGCTCATGGTGCATAAAGAAGATCTGTAAAGTTGCAAAGACTAAAGTCTCAAATCCAAAAAGATATTCTTTATAAAAGTTAAGAGTCAACCACGCCTACCTAAAACGGCTCGTTCTAACGCCCCCACATGTCTACGTCACGATGTGGGAAAATTTGCATAACGCCGCCCAAATGTTCACGCAAAAAAAGGTGTAACTTTTATTCTCGCTGTAGTATTGTTGTTGCCGCCACCGCCATGTCGTGAAGGCGCTGTGTTTCGTTGTGAAAGCGAAACTACTTTGGTTGGCCTTCCAAAAGAGGACGATATCATGCCTGGAGCTGATCCGTGCTGGTAGCTGAGGAAATGCATCAACTTCGCGCTGTCAATTGCCGGATCGGCTTTCACCGTGGATGAAGCGGAGTCCAGCCCGGGGTCGTCACATGTGGTTGCCGCAAGCCCGCCG